GCAGACTGATTCACTTGCTGATCGTCATTCCTACCTGAGAAATGCCCCTTTCTGTGCATTGCTCCTGCTAATTCTCGAGACCTTTCCCAAGTGAGCATGCCCAAATCCTAAGCTTAAGCCAAATGTTGGTTCTACCATATTTGCTCCAACTGAACAGATCCCTTTCCTCAATCTCCTTCACATTTTGCTTTCATGTTGTATTCCACTAATTCCATTTTATCGTATAGTTATTTGATCATACTCCTTATCTCCCAAAAAAACCTTTTAAGTTGTGTAAGGACAAGTGCTATTTCTAGAAGAATTTTGAATCTTTTGATGCCTACTATTATACTATGTTTGGCACATAGCATTACTCAATAGTTACTGAAACAAATAGGCTTTCTCTTAATTGTGCTGGATTTCCAATATTTTAGAGTTCTTTGGTTACAAGCAAGAGAAAACAACTCTGCTTAAATTAAGTCAAGAAGAATTTATCAGAAGGCCATGATGCAACTCACAATAGTGAAGGAAAAGTTGAAGAACCACCTCTTGAAAAAGTAGAGAAAAAGGGATACCCTAAGGATTAAGAGAGTAGGAACTAAGGCAAATCTCAGGGTGTGACTGTTGACATGAACCAGCTGGAACAGTTTTGCTATCTCAACCTCATTCTAGTCAAGATTCAAATTCCCTGAAGAATAACTCTGCTTAGCTTAAGACTGGGCCACATGCCAGGAGTGAATGGGATTCCTTGGCTAACAGTCCTAATGAAACTGAATTCAGTGAAGACTGCGTCATTTCCCATAGCAAAATCAGAGGAGATAGATGCCAGGCAGGTAAAAACAACAACTTCTAATGCACCCATCCCATAAAACCTCTATATTTGTTCATTCATTGACTTATTTAACCAACCAAAATTTACCAGGAAATGTGCTAATTGCTGGGGATATAAATAAAAATAAGTTGTAGACCGTATCTTCAAAGGGTTTACAGCAGGGGTCCTCAAACTTTTTAAACAGGGTGCCAGTTCACTGTCCCTCAGACAGTGGGAGAGTGCGCACTGTGGGCCTGGGATGAGTGGGCTGCTAAGCAGGACAGGCAGCTGTGCCAAAAACACCCGGGAGGCTGGATAAATGCCCTAGGTGGGTGGCATGTGGCCTGCCGGCTGTAGTTTGAGGATGCCTGGTTTACAGTATAGTATATTTCTATTGCTTTTCTTAATTCATTTTATAATTTTATTAAAATGAATAGGCAAAAAATTAATAGGTAAAGTCCTTGGGGAGCTTTTCATTGCAATGTACCTCCCCCATGTTCTATGTGACTTTAATGCCATATGGTTCACCCATCCAGCAGCCTAGTCTCTTAGTTTCATGATTTCCTTGTCAGTGACAGCTGTGGTAGGAGACAAAAATCAGAGAAGTCTGTAGGGAAGATTATCTAGAATCTTGCAGGCCTTGGTAAGGAATTTAAATTTTATTTAAAATATGATTGGGAGCAATGGAGGGAGTACCAAACTCAGAGCAGATCACTCTAGCTACCACCCAGAGGTGACATTATGAGAAGGAAGACCAGAGAGACAAAAGTGGGAGCACGATGTTTATTAGCAGGATGTCATAGTGGCCTAATGGTACATTCGACAAGGGTGTTAGCAGAGGATAGGTGAAATGCAGGCAGGTTCAGATATACTTTGGTTATGGAGCTAAGAAGACTTTCTTATAGAGTGGATGTGGGGATAAGGGGGAATTGAGGATGACCTCTAGGTGTATGGAGGTGCCATTTTCTAAGATCCTTATTTTCTGTTCGATTTACTTCCACTCTGCCAATTTTTCTATTGCATTTTGACCATTGATTCATTGACCCTTTTACTATTTTCCTATCAGTTCTATCCTACATTCACTTTCTTCCCTATAAAACTTGGATTAATGGTGCATTATTTCTACTGCTCTTATTAACATCTCAAACTCTTTAATGTCTTCCCATTGAACCTGTCTAGTGAAATACTCACCAAACTGCTTACCCTTTCTGACTCTTTGACTAGACTCTTGAAATATCACACAGAGCAGCTTATTTAGGACATGATAAACTCAACCTCTGATCTCAATTCTTAACATTGGAATTTTTACAAATCTCCTGTCAACTCTCACTTTTCTTCTCCATCCTGACTATTCTAAAATCTCTGACTCCTCTTCTTTACTGTTCCTGGTTCTCAACATGTGACCTCACCACTTACTTCACAGAGAAAACAGAAACTTGATAAATAATGTCCTTTGTCTTTTTGGTACCAAGTGTGCAACCCTTCCTTCTTATTCCTCCTGGTGCATGGACTCTTCTTGCCACCTAGGTTCTGCTTCTGCCCCATCATGACCTAACTTCATCTTTCTCTTTTGGTCAACTTCCTTATTTCTCCTTGTTTTTTTCCATAGGGAATTAGGCATCCGAGAGCCTCTTTCTTAAAAATAAAATTGGAAATACAAACAACTAAATGTCACTCATTGCAACCCTCCACCCCTCCCAGCCCCTTCTCCAAATGTCTCATCTCCTTCATATCTAAACCCATTGAAAGAACTGCCTACATTACTTCCATCAATATTCTTATTTCCCACTTATTTCTCAACCCACATTCTGGCTCCCAGTCATACTATTCTAAAGAAAATGGTAAACATTATAAAATAAAACACACAAGGTGTTGACATTCAGTGAATATGCTTTCATTCTCATTTGGCTTAACTTCACGTAAGCATTTGACATTGGGCAGTGCCATTTTTTTTTTTTTTTTTTTTTTTGGCTTATGTGCCGCCATGCTTTATTTCCTAGTGCTTCTACTACCTCTGTGCCTCACTTTTTCCTCCCTCCGTTCCTTCCTCCCTCCTTCCTTTTCCTTCCTCCCTCCTCCCTCCCTCCCTCCTCCCTCCCTCCCTCCCTCCTCCTTCCTCCTTCCTTCTTCCTCCTTCCTTCCTTCCTTCCTTCCTTCCTTCCTTCCTTTCCTCCCTCTCTCCCTCCCACACTTCTTTCTTTTTTGAGTTTTATTTTTTCAATCAGTTTCCTAAGTGCTACTCTCCTCTTTTAAGTTTCTCTTCTAGGATTTTTTTCCTCCTTTAGGTAATCTGTAATGTAAACCTTTTTTAGGTTTTTTGTCTGGACCTATGAAGTTCCTGTAGAAATGAATGTTTTGATGATCAGTCAGTGTTGCGTATGTATGTGTGTGTTTGTGTGTTGGTAATAAGCTTAGCTGCTTTGTGTGCCAGGCAAGGAAGGAGGCTGGGGGTGGGGTGCTTACTGTTCTGCCTATAACTATTCAATTTATTTCCCTGTTTTCAGTCTGGTTCTTCACCTTTACCCTCTGACAGGCCTTGTATGCCCAATTTTACATCCTCTCTGGCTCTTAGAAATAAATCTTCTGCTTCTTTCAGGCGTGGGGGTAGGGAACTTCCTTGACTGCTTTGGTTAAAGTGGGATTTCTAATAACATTTAAAAAGAGAGTATCTGAGCAATATTTTTAAAATGACATCATCTCTATACTTAAAATCATTCATTAGGATGAGAAATTAAATTTTAAAAATTTGGAAAAACAAAAAATTATCTCATGAGCTAATTAGTGACTATGTGAAAGAGAAGGCTTGGAGTCTTTAATTGTTTTATGTCTGGGAGTAGTTGCCAAAGATGCTGCCGTATTATTATAAAGCTATTATAGCTTAGTAGTATATAAAGTTCACTGGCTATATTAGATATTGCATTCTTTGGCTTACCTACTAGCGTTGGCAAAATTGCCCCTAAAAATATCCATGGCTTCAAACTATGGCTTCAAAGGCTATACTTCTGCAATGTTTATGTGTATTAACTGAAGGATTTTTTCAAGGTTTGATTTCCAATTTCCTATACTTTATCTAACAGCTGCTTTCTCCATTACCCTCCCTCCACATCCCTTTTTTTATATTCTCTGATGAGTTGATTCATTTTTTCTTTACTTATAGTAAAGTAAATTGCATTCCAGTCAAAATTATACTGTTCGGAAGATTGCTTAGCTGAGGACCATTAGTAACACCACAGTGTGTGACTTTAAATTGGTCTCTTTTCATAAGAATAGACATATGTGCCTTGGAGTAGTAGTGTCCTTGTAAATGTCACCTATTTGTTTCTCATCTTTCGTCAATGAGCTATTTCCCAAAAGCCACTAATGTAGGCTATTTCCCTTAATTAAAACACAACTGTACATTTAGGAAATGTAAAGAAAAGTAGAGCTAATACTCATAAATATGCAGCTATAGTGAAGCAGTCTCATTTTAAAAATTGATGCTGGATTTTATAAATAAGGGAATAAATCTTAAAATTAAGTGTGGATTTTTTTCTTCTAAAAGTGAGGTCTCAATAAAAAAGAATAAAATCTTACTAATTGCAGCAATATGGATGGAACTGGAGATCATTATGTTAAGTGAAATAAGCCAAGAACAGCAAGACAAATGTTTTAATGTTTTCACTCATATGTGGGAGGTAAAAAAAAGTAGACTTCATGAAGATAGACAGTAGATTGGTGGTTACCAGAGGCCAGGGAGGAAAAGGAGGAGGGAGGATGAAGAGAAGTTGATTAACAGGTACAAATATATGATTTGGTAAAAGAAATAAGACCCAGTATTAGATAGTTCAGTAGGGTGACTGTAATTTACAATTTATTGTACATTCCAAAATAATCAGAAGAGAATTATTAGAATGTTTCTAGCATAAAGCAAATATTTAAGGTGATAGATATCCCAAGTAAACTGATTTGATATTTACAAATTATACGAATATATTAAATTATAACTATGTACATCTATTTTGCAATAATAAAAAATTATTTTAAAAAAGAGCCATAAAAATGAAGTCTCAGTAAAGGTAAAGTCCCCAAGCACTGCACTAGGCACTGGAGGATAGTGAACGGTGATCAAGACACATGAAGTCTTGCCATGACTCTCTAGATTGGGAGATGAAAATAAACAAGTAAGCTAAGATGAACGTGCTCATCATGAATTGTGGTATGTGCTTTCAAGGAATAGGGTGTCAAGATCAGAGCCACTTTGGATCAAAAGGGTGGGGTGATCTTTCTGAGAAGCTGACGTTTGAGCAGAAACTTGAAGAATAATAAAAACCCAGCCAGGCAAAGAACTGACGAAAGAGGATTCTGACAGAGAAAATGACAAGGGAAGGAGGTAAGATGAACGGGAAATAGGCGCCAGCTCTGCAGGAACCCACAGGCCTTGGTAGGAGATTTCACAATTTGTTTTAGGAGCAGTAGACATTGGTATATTCACATTAATGCATGCAAACTAATTCATAGATTAGAGAAAAACCAAAACCCTTTTTCATTAACCAAAAAAAAGTTCTAGTCTTGGAGAAAAAGAGGTAATTAAGGTGACAACAAAAATCAATAAAATAATTGAAATTATATTTTCAGAAAAATGTGTAAGGAAGATATTTTAACAATAAAGCAAGAAAGGAAGTGGAATGTAGTAGTTAAATGCATGGGCATTGGAAACAGCTGTGTAATCTTGTATGAGATATTTAACTTCTTCGTACTTTAATTTTTTAATCTGTGAAATGGGATTAATGTTAGAACCAATATTATAGGGCTGTTGTGAGGATTAAGTGACTTATTACATTTAAAACATTTAAAATGTGCCTGAAACATAGTAAGTCCTATATCATTTTTAATATTACAACATCTTTGTAAAAACTGTAATTAAACAACAAAAATTATATTTCATCAGTGATCTTAAGCTGAAATTGCAAAAGAATTGAATAAAACAATGGACAGATCTGAAAACTGGATCTGGAAGATAAATAGGGAAAACTGTTCAGAATGGTGAGAAAAAACAGACTGCAAATGTGACAGCAAAGTTCTGTGACATGCAGAGATCACTTCAGATGGCCCATCTGCTTAAGGAGATGATGAGGCTGGTGACAAACAAAAACAAAAACAACTTCAGAAGCTGACATGATCTTCTGGTTGGAAAGAAAAGGCTTGTTGTTCTCTTCAGCCACTGGTTACTTCATACCTATGGAATAATCTCCATTTCCAGAGTAGATAAACTTGAGCAAGATTTGCCCCTTTTGGCTTTGGTACGTTGGTACACCAGCCCTTTTTTACTTTTCATTACAAAGTTTACCGAACCTTCTCAGATACTCTCAGAAGGAGCCAATGGACACTGAATGAAAACATTTTAAATGCCAAAAAACGTAAGAAGTGTTCTTAGTTAAAAAGTAAAGAAATTTGAAAAACTTAATATTACTCTGTCGTACATGGGAACAAAATTGTCATTGTATTTTCTGTTTGGGTTTTGTTTTGTTTTTTTGACTTAGTAGACTTTATGGTTAGACCTGTAGGCTTGGGAAAATACAAAATACCATAATACCGTTACTTAGTATGACATTATCTATGTCACTAGAAGCCTCTTAGGAAGTACTTGCCTTTCTCACAGTTTGGTTATTTTCTAGAGCAAAATCATGTTTCTGTGTAACTAGCAATGTGTTGTTCTCATTTTATTAAGAAAAACTTTAAGTATAATCTGAAATCCTTAGCAGTGGCATAATTGTGCATGCCTGTTTTGTTTCAATCTGTTTTCCACCTATAATGAATTATAAAGACAAACATACTTGTTGGGTCTTTTAGCAAACATGGAAATAAAGCATATTGTTTTTTATTAACTATTTATTTTCACCAATACAATATTTTGATATATTACAAAAACAAAGCATAATTTATATAGCAGAAAAAACAAAACAAAAACAAAATAAACAAACAAAAACGGAAAAGTCATATTTTAAACAAAGAAAAAAAGAAAAGAAAGTAGTGCATAGAGAGAAATAGCCCACCAAGTGGCAAGCAGGACAAATGAATGATTCCCAAACATAGGTAGGTAGGTCCTGGAAATTTTAGAATAAAGGGGAAAAGCCTGAAAGCATTCAGAGATAAAAGTAGAGATTCCTTCTGAAGGAAAGAGAACCAGAAGATACCAGACCTCTGGTCTTTAGCATTCCACTCCAAACTCAATCAAATACATATGCAAATTAATATTTTGAAAGTGCAAAGACTCAAAGTTAATCATTATGTGCCAGGTAAGAAAAATAATAGTTATATGAAGATATTCCCATAAAATGATTTAATTTAACTTAAATTTCTTTTAAGTTAAAATACAAATTCTAGTTGATTAATGATGGAGAAATTTTTTTAAAAAAATTGATGAAAATTAGATAAAGTGGATTACAGCACTCTCCAATACTTGGAATATTCATCTTTAAGCATTAAAGAGTTTTTGTGGGTTTTTTGGACTTAAAAGTACATTTACTTCTTTTAGCTTATTCATACTACTTGGTTCTTGAGTAAATAAAGTTTATATCATCATAAATTTGAAAAACCTATATGTGCTTACATTTATAGAACCAAATCTAGATAAAAAGCGTAAGGCTAATTGTTGTTGTAGAACAGAATGTAAAGATGTTTGGAATGTAAAAATAATAATGTAAGCAAAATATAAATCTGGAGGGAGAGAGAAGGAAAGAGGGTGAGAATAGTACAAAAAACTAAATTTCTTGTTTTTCATAGCACAGAATCAATAGGTATTTCTAAAGGTGATAAAACTAGCACTGAAATATATATTCTTCAAATAAGCTCATAACTACCAAGTTATTATTTTAAAATATTGTTAAATGTGCTATATCTTGGTAATGGAACTTGGTGTTGGAAAGTGAAAAAGGATTTTTTTTTTTTTTTTTTTTTTTTTTTTTTTTTTAGGCATTCCCAAACATTCTGTAAAAAAAGGATTTTTTGATTTAGACATTTCTACATTTTTGTCTTAGACACATCTTTACCATCTTAATTTTTGCAGCTGTTTGCAAGCATAATGTTAATTTATAAAACCACTTTAATAATGAAAGTGCATAATTATAAATAGAGGAGTGAGTATATAATATGTAGCACATCCATATGCTAGAAGACTATGCAGCCTTAGAAGGAATCACATAAATTCACATAACATTTAGAGAAGCATGCTCAGTATGTAATTCTGTATGGAAAAATAAAAATAAAGTCAAAGAAGAAGCTGCATAGTACAATCAATCCTTTTTACATATAAAAATTACATTACTTATGTATAAATGTCCATCAATAGAAAGAGCTTTAAAAAATTGTGGTATTGATACAAAATGGAAAACTACTTGGCCTAAAAAAAGAACTACATGTGACAACATGGAGAAAACCTAAAAGCATTATATTGTGCAATGGAAACCGTAAACAAAAGGTATATAAAACTTAAGAAAAAGCAAAACTAATCTATGATGTTTGAAGTTAGAGTTGTTGTTACTCCAGAGAGGGGAGGCTGTTGGAATTAACTGGGAGGGGGCCTGAGGGAAATTTCTGGGGTGATGGATAGGTCCTATATCTTCACTGAGATGATGATTACTCAAGGGTATACATCTGTCAAAGCTCATTAAATTGTACACTTAAACTATGTGCATTTTATTTATTGTATATAAACTATACCTCAATATACAAAAACAATATGCGTACATAGATGTATGTATGTATATACATGCTTATATATGCATAAGATAGTACTGAAAAAAAGGCTTCATATCAAATTTTTTAGACTACAAGAGGATGAAGGGAACAATTTCTGTATATTTTTTCTATATTTGTTTTATACTTTTGATTTTATAGACTGTATTTGTTTTTTCTATATTCTGTTTTATCTATATTTGTATTAATTTTATGAGTATTACTCTTATAATAACAGATAAAAATCCATTTTAAATCTTAAAAGGCACTGATTATAAATGCTTTAAGACAGAGGTGTTCTGCACTCACACTGCCCTTCTGCCTTTCAATGATAACCAAGATGCCGTTTCGAGTGCCTGTCATTTGGCTTTGTTCCCTCTGGGGACGGAGAAAAGCTGTGAAGGATAGAGCAGCTACTGGGCTGGCTGGACATTGTTTAAAAATTGAGCCCACTGGAGAGAGAAAACAACAGAGGAGATGGGGTAGGTAAGAAAACCAGTTCTGAATTTCAGTAGAAATGTATAAAGGGTCAAACAGAAAGGAAAATGTTCTGCAAGATCTCTGTTTACACAATTCTCTGCCTTTGTCTGCAGCAACCTTCCACGTACATCAGAATCACTTCGAAAATTGCATATTGGGTACATATGCAAGGTCAGCAATGAATTATTGTCTCTGCAGGAGACCCCAAACCAAAAAAAAAGAAAAAAAACACACATGCAACTGGGAGGCAAGCCTTGTTAGCTGTTTCAAAGAAGTTAACTCCAAAGGACTTTTAATGACTGCTTCATTCTAAGACCTCCTGCCACCAGCTTTTAACTCACCATTCCTTTGGCTTACTTTCCCTTTTCATCCTTTCTTTTAATACAAAATATCTGCAGCATCACAACCCAATTGTTAGTTCATGCTAATAAGCCTTCATTTACCTGTACTGGTATTTTGACCTTCAGACACTTATAAATCCCAGGAGTTTCTAAACTCAGGCAATTAGTGTTTTGAATTTCTAACCCAGACAAGCTTTGCAGAGGGCAAAGAGAAACTGGCTTTTCATAAGAGAATTAACTTTTTGCAGACTAACTTCCTGCTATTAAATTATTGCTTTCACAGGGATTAGCTCTTTGTTTCATTGTTTTTTGTTGATGTTTTTGTTTCAGCCATAAAGATTACAACATTTTGTCTGCTATCAAACTAAAGCAAATTCAAGTTTTCCATAATTTCTTGAAATATAATGTACAGTTTTTAAGAATGTAGTTGGAAGAAAAGATTATTTTGAAGTATAGGCCTTTATAATTTAGTACTAAAAATAATCAACGTGTGCATTGTTTCTGAGTAAAATATTGGATCTTTGTATACTTTTGTTCAAAGTTTCTCTAATTTTTCAGCCCAGGATACTCCCAGAGATGAAAAAGGCGTTTAAGAGTTAGAGTTTTCATGTATGTTTAGCCTAGAGGCAAAATAAATCATGCAGTATTATTTACTTTTGTTTACCTGTGAACATAAATGACCTACAATTTATCCATAATAATGACAATAATTTTTTTATCATGATTTGCCATACTCTATCTGTTATTACAATGACATGAATAATATTTTATAAGAACAGATATTTTATTTGTGTGGCCTTCAATGTTGACTTACATACCCTGTTAGCCATTTGAATATGCATTTTCAGCTTGTGATAGTACAAATGCTATATGATCACCAAATCATTTTCTATTTTTCTTGGACAAACAGGAAGACATTTCCCAGACTATGTGCATTTAAATGAGACCATATGATTAATTCTGGGCAAGAAATGTGAATGGAAGAGATCTATACTGCTGGGCATCTAATATGTTTGCATGATCTTCCTCATTTTTGTTTGTCCACATGGTCAGGAGCAAAAACTCCAAGATGGCAGACATAGGTGGAAGTAGCCTAGTTCTTTGAATTATCTCAGGAGGATAACCTAGAAGTAATCCTGGTTGTCACCTAGAAATCACCTAGAAGATCCTTTGTCCCACCTCATACTTTGTGAAGGCAGGACACAAACTCTTACTGTGTTAAGAAATAGAGATTTGGGGTTTTATTTGCTACTTTAGCATATCCTATACTGAGAATATCACATTGATGGCAGTCATGGCTTTGATTTTAGTAATTTCATAAAAGGAAATATACTTAGGCTGTCAGGTAGAATCAAATATTCTCCAGAGTTTTTTTCCAAGTTAGCTTGAAGTTTCAGAATTATTCTTGGAGCCATATTTTGACACTGTGTTAATGGGCTAGATGATAAAAATGTTTTCTTGTGTTAGTTGTTAAAAATTGTATTGGACTATACTTGAGAGTTGAGGAGAGCTTTTCTTTTTTTGAAATTTTTGGCTATATGTTGACCTCAATGCTTTATTCCATGAAAGAAAGAAGAAAAGAGGTAGGGAAGAACAAAGAGAGGGAATACCAAGATAAGAGAAGGGAAGAAGGAAACTTTTGAACACCTTTTTAAACTCACAGCACCAGAGGAGAGAGATCAGTCAATAATATTAGATGTTGAGATTATTTTAATGTGCTTTCTAATAATCCAATTTACAAGATCTTAAAAATCAGCATTTTATGGCCAACATGAAAAAATGCTCAATAACTCGAATCATCAGGGAAATGCAAATCAAAACCACGATGAGATATCACTTATGTCCAGTGAGAATGACCTTTATTAAAAAGTCCCAAAACAGTAAATGTTGACGTGGATGTGGAGAGATAGGAACACTCCTATGTTGCTGATGGGACTGCAAACTAATTCAACCTCTGTGGAAAGCAATATGGAGATACCTTAAAGTAATACAAGTAGATCTACCATTTGATCCAGATCTACCATTTGATCTTTTGGGCATCTACCCAAAAGAATAAAAGACACTATAAAAAAGACACCTGCACTTGAATATTTATAGAAGTGCAATTCACAGTTGCAAAATTGTGGAAACAACTCAGGTGCCCATCAATACATGAGTGGATTAATAAAATGTGGTATATGTATACCATGGAGTACTATTCAGCTTTAAGAAACAACAGTGATATAGCATCTCTTGTATTTTCCTGGTTAGAGCTGGAACCCATTCTACTAAGTGAAGTATCCCAAGAATGGAAAAATAAGCACCATATGTACTCACCAGCAAATTGGTATTAACTGATCAACACCTCAGTGGACATATAGGAATAACATTTATCGGGTGTTGGGCAGGTGGGAGGGAGGGGATGGGTATATACATACATAATGAGTGCGATGAGGACTGTCTGGGGGATGGACATGCTTGAAGCTCTGTCTGCAGGGAGGAAGGCGGGGAAAGGCAACACATGTATAACCTAAACATTTGTACCCCCATGATATGCTGAAATTAAAAAAAAAAAAAAAGACAGCGATGGCAGACGAGCTCAGAAGCCTGAGTCACATTCAGAGACAGCAAAAGTGACAGGGAAAGGTAAACAAGAATATGGAACAAAGAAATCCTCAGGTGTTGGATCCTTTATTGACCTTAGGGGCAGAGAGAAATTACTCTTCATCCTCAGTTGATGGCATGTCATTATCATTACCCTGGGCTGGGGCTCTCTCTTGCTTTGATCTATTTAGGTGTGTCTAGATGGGCTTGGTTATTTTTCTCATTCACTTTATTCTTCATTCCCCACTGATCCCCTCAAGGGATTTGTTTTGTGTCCTTGAAATTGTATGTATCCTGGAACAGTGTCACACTGGGCATCCAAATGGCTGTACGAGGCAATGCTCCCAGCTGCATACAACAACTTTCCTACTTCTGTTGATCTGATAGGTGTAAGGCCTTATTTTAATTCAAATTCAAATTTTTCTGATTGTTCATGTGTTTTAACATCATTTTATATACTTGTTAACCATGAGAGTTTCACATTTTTTGACTTGTCTGTTCATGTTCATACCTTTTGCCAATTTTTCTACTGAGATTTCCATCTTTTACATATTGCTTTTCAGAAAGTCTTTCTGTATTCGAGGTATTCATCATATGTTGCTTTGATGTCAGAATATCTTCTACTAATTGTCACTTTCTGTTACATTTGTCTATGGTGCCTTTTGTTAAACAGAAATTCTTAATTTTGATGAAATAAAATATATCTTTTCCTCCTTAAAAGAAAATCAGCATTTTATATTGTGAAACAAATATTAATTATTAAAATATGCCATAACATGATATATAAATAAAAATATTAAATCTCTTATATTTTCATTTATTGCAAAAGTGATATGAACATTGTTTCTTAAAAATTTAAAAGGATTTAATAACAAACTTTAACATTGCATGCCGGTGATATCAGGTGAAGCTTTTTCTTGATAAATTTAATTATGATTTGAAATCTGGTAATTAGATTAAATGTACTAATGTAAACAAACCAATGACTATTGCTTCTAAATGAATTTCAAAATCCCCTTCCCTGGCTTGTGGGGTCCTACATAGCTGGTCCTCATTTCCCCCAGTCTTACTCTTGCCCTTCTTCCCCGTTATGTTTCTGCCCTACTGACCTCCATTTTTCTTCCTGACTCTTTAAGCCCTGACCCTCAGGATTATAATTCTTATAATAGTTTTGTCTGGTTCTTGAATCAAGGTTACGTTGGCCTCATGAATATGGCTGTGAAATTTTTTCTGTTTCTATTATTTGGGAGATTTTGCGTAACACTACTCTTATTTCTGTTTTTATGCTTGGACTAGTTCGCCAATTAAGTTGTCTACCTAGGATTTTCTTTGTAGGAAAAACTTTTAAGAGATTCAATTTCTTTAATAGATATCCACTATTCAAATTTTCTATTTCTTTTGTTGTCAATTTTGGAAAGTTATATGTTTTTAGAAATTTGTTTATTTTATTTGAATCAGCAAACTTTTATCTTTTTCATGTCTTTAAATGTGTAGTGAAGTATCATTTTCATTGATATTCTTCATAATTTATGTTCTTTTCTATCTTTCTCTGACTTATAGCTTGATTCCATTGTGGTCTGAAAACAGGGAGAATTTCTTTATAAAGCAGATTGTCCTCCATGAGGTGGTGGGTTGCATCCAATCAGCTGAAGCCCTGAATAGAACAAAAGACTGACCCTCCCTTGAGTAACTGAAACATCAGCTCTTCCTGGTCTGACAGCAGTTTCTAGCCTTTGTACTTCAACTGGGACCTTGGCTTTATAGATTTTGGACTTGCCAACCTCCATAATTGTGTGTGCCAATTCCTAATAATAAATCCTGCTTTATATATATATGTGTACTATTGGTTCTGTTTCTCTGGAGAGCTCTGACTAATACAGAGCATAAGAACAATTTTGTACAATGTTTATATAAAAAATGTTAAGTCTGTCACTGTTTGATGCAGTGTTCTATATATGTCCATTAGGTGAGATTTAATTATGTTGCTTATATATTCTATGTACTTACTTTTTATTTGATTTTTTTATCAGTTATTGCAAAAGGTATATTAAAGTCTCCACAATGATTGTGAATTTGTCTACT